TTTGTCCTTGCTAGCCAAATATCTCCAATGAATACCAGGCAGGCTCTTAGACTACGGGTGGTGCGAGCATATCAGATTCCTGAGAGAAGTGATCCATCGAAGATTAGATCAAAAGAAATTGTTTTTCATGATGAAGATGTAAGGACTATTTAAAAATAGATAGACAGTCTTTTTACTTTTACAGTTCCTATTTTTTTTTAAATAGTTACACAGAGATTATATATATTTTACAGTCCCTATTTTTGTTATTTACACATACACAGGGGTCCTTCTTGCATGCTCATATACCCAAAGAGTATGTGGAAAAGTACCTTAGCTGTTTTCCTGAAGGTTCAGTATATGCTATAAGGAATTTTTGTGTGATCACCAATTTTTACTATACAAAACCAGCCCACAGAAGTACATGATAAAATTTAACTATCAAACTATGGATAAGGATTTAAAGCATGTGAAATTTCCTATGAAAATGTATCGGCTGAAGACCTTTAAAGAGATCAAGTCTAATGAAGGCCTTGATGAGAAAATCTTATTTGGTAATCAGTGCTCTCATTCAATCTATGATTTCTAATTATTTGATATTTTGTCTACTATTCTATACTCTAATGCATTATTTTGTAGATGTTATTGGTCGAGTTATTGAAATACACTGCCCACAGGAGAAATTAATCAATGGCAAGAACTCCAGGCTGATTGACTTCACCATTGAAGATACTGAGTACTCCTGAATATCAGTGCCTTTCTATTATTTTATATTTTAGAGATTTCTGTTCTTCTAATATATTATCTAAATTTTTTTAGTGGAATACAACTAATGTGTACTTTGTGGAATGAACACGTAAGCAAGATTGAGGCATTCTACAATTCTACTTCACAAGAGCCATTATTGGTGTTGATACAGTTTTGTAGGGCTAGGGTGTGTTTAAAAAGTAAGTAGATTAAATCCTAGAACTGTGCCTAACTTATAATACCAAAAACATGTTCACCAATTAGCCTGTCTAATGTGTACTAAAACTTGATTACCTAAAGGTGGTGATGTCAAGATTTGTAGCTCCTATGATGTAACACAGCTGCTTTTCAACCAAGAATCTCCCCCATTTGAGGAGTTCAGGAAAAGGTTCTTCCATTCTTATTTTTGCAGCTGCAGATTTACATTTACTATTAATTCTGATTTTATGTTATCATTTTACAGTATCAGCCATGAACAGACTCCAATGCGCAGTATAATTTCCCAATCAAGTTTTAAGGAATGTAGCTCCTATTCAGTTTCCCTATCTGGTGATATGGAAGTTCGTACTATCAGTGAAATCTACAGAGACAAGGAGGTAATACGGTTAAGTCATTAGTGAACTTACTTGCATGGTTATACTGTATGCAATTGTGAACTGACTGACATTTGTTGAAAATAACATTTGTTGAATAACAATGCTAACTGCTGGATTATGTAGTCTGCATTTACAATTAGAGTCAAATTAAATCATGAATAATAAGTATATCATACTTTAAAACATGTTAAAATTATATTAACCTAAACATTAGACCCAACATCTATAAAATTATTAGATTAACAAATTGAATTGTACCAATTAAGAATATACCTCTATGTCTTTACTTTGTTGCAATCCATGTCTTTACTTTGTTGCAATCCATGTTGTGGTTTCATCTCAAACATAAACATTAGTCCCAACTTCTGGCATGTTTAACCTGCATTTAATATTAAGCATGAGGTACATAAATAAGATCACAACTCTGCAGACTTCTATAACTCATTCAAAGTTAATTGACTAACAACATTAGATAGTCTACCAGTGTGTGATTATCTCATTCAGTAAATTAAAAATATACCTCTATGATATCACTTGATTGCAATCCATGCTTTGAGTTCAGCTCAAACCTGCACAATGAGAGCCAACTTCTGGGCTGTTTAACCTGTATTTAATAATAAGCATGAGATAGAAAAATAGTAACACAAATGTGGGGTCCTATATAACTTATTCAAATTAATCAGTCTTCCAGTGTGTACTTATCTCTTTCAGTTATGGTGTTATTGTTGTGCTACCAAATACTCCCTGTTAACCCCAAACCTGCACAATCAATGAGATATTGATGGTTTAATTACTGTTAGCTAAAAATTGATGGGAAGATTTGGACTATATAATCACACATATAGTGTTTGGGGGGGGGGGGGGGGGGGGTGTAATAAACTCTGCTAATGGTCTAAAGTTTTATGCAGTTTGGTGATTTTTGGGTGGCAGCAAGGATTGTATTCATTGATGATCCAGAGTGGTACTATGCTTCGTGTCGAACAAAGGGTTGCAACAAAAAACTCAAACTGAAAGGGAAGTGGCTGTGGTGTAGTACATGTGACAGGAATTGGGGTGATGGGACACTCAGGTACAGAGTTAAGGTTAGAGTTGTGGACTTGGATGGCAATGCTCTTTTCCTTCTATGGGACAGGGAGTGCCTCGATCTACTTGGAATTAGCGCAGATGATTTGAAGGATACCCATACTAAGGTACAAAACTATATTTCATTCTTAGCTAGACTATTAACTTAGTAGTACTTCAACCATACAAAGGCAGTACTGCAGAAAAGTTGTGGTTTTAATTTCTGTGTCACACTGTCAGTGAAGATCAACATCATATGGTATATAGGAAGATTAAAATCTATACTAACTTTCCTATGTAGGGAAGAAAGGGGCTACCTAAGGAGCTCGAGACTCTCATTGGACTGAATCTCCTATTTCGAATTGCTGTTCGCAAAGAACAGTTCCAGAATTATCTCAATGCTTTCCCTGTTATGAGGATCATCACTGATGAAAAGATTGTAGAAAAGCATGCACCAGAACTAATTCAAGTTAGGGACAGGGATCTCAATTCAAAGTTGGAGTTGGAGCTTACAGATGAGGACCTATGGGATCTAGAGGTATACTTGGGGTTACCGAGTAACATGTTGTACCAATTAGTTTATAAACTAAGATTATTGGTGACTTATACAGTTAGAACTTCTGATTTTGTAGGAAGCAGACCAAGCAAATGAAGCTGAAAGTCCACTCCAAGTTGTTGCACAGAGACTGAATGCAGAGAATAGTATTGAGAATGGAACAGTCAAGAGATCACTAATCGATGAATTTTCAAGCACACAAAGTTCAAAAAAAAGCAAGGAATGTGTGGTCAAGATTGAGAAAGAAGCAGATGTGTAATGAGTTTAATGATTCACAGTGTGCTCTATTGGACTGTTTTTTTTTTCAGAATGGTTTTTATGTTGACATTATTGTGGTGTCCCTCAAACAGCTAGACTGAACCTTTTTGCCATTTAGGATTAGATTCCTAAAACATTGTTTTTTTTTTAGAATGCTCACAATTTGTTCCTAGAACCTGTTATTGGTACTGGATTTGTTATATTCCTTTTGCAGAATTGTTTTTTTTTCAAAGAGTGATGCCACAATGATGAAAAAAGATTGCAAACGTGATGGTAAAAGATGTCAATAGATGGCAGACATGGCAGAACAAAATTAAGAAGATGGCAGACATATCCCTAAAGATGAAAGTGATGGCACATAAATCAGTTGAATATGCAGATAACATCATGCAAACAGACCATCAAATTGTATATGTTAGCATGTACTACACGAGTACTTTGTAGAGGAAAAAACATTATGGTACATTAATGTAATGGCATTTTTAATGGTTAAATATTATTCTATCTTTTCTAATGACTATTACTAATAACTCTAAGCCTCCATTTTGTTGGATAAATCACAACTCCCCTACATTAAATACTAACAGCAAAGCAACTGATTGGCATCCAAATTTAACTCCCCTAAATAATGTAAACAGAATATCACATTTATTAAAGCATATAAAGTATCCAAAGTATTACGACACTAACTTCTAAATTTGAATGTAGGATTAAAACAATACAGTTGCAACACTTGCTTACTACTCAAAACCCTTAGAAGTTTGATAAAGTAAAAGTCATTCAAATATGAGTAAAATTAGGGACTTAAAACTTCTTTTGGTAATGAAAGTAGAAATATTATTCCAAGTAGGCATGATTAGACCTGATTAGGTACTTACCAGCCTCTGTCATCTTAAAGCTCCCTTCAAAGTCCTTTTATGCAACAGAGGTTAGATAGCATTTTAACTGCAGTTCAACCAACAAGTGATAAATTAAAAATAGTACTGGCAGCCACATCATAGTCAATTTCTAACACATGGATTAGAATCACAAAAATAATTATGGACTTGAAGATGATTAGTGAATTACCATTTGATTTCACCAACTTTGTTATTAGGAAGCCTCCTAAATTAATGTTAGATGAGGACCGTCGGTGTAGCAGCTTACCTGCAGTTGCAGAATTTGGAATTAGCTGGGTAACTGATTATAAACACCATCTAATTTAGGAACAATGAAAGGATATTATTGTTGGTAATTAACAAGGGAAATCACATTAGATTGAACATTTTTTAGTCTATTAAAACTTATCTTTGAGCCGTGCGTAGCAACTGTAAGTACAATAAGCTTGACAGCAACTTTGTTATTAGGAAGGCGCCTCAAATCATTTTAGAGGAATACAGACTGTTTAGCAGCTTCCCTGCAATTGGAGAATTTCAATTAACTGGATTAAATGATTATAAACATCATCTAATTTAGGAACACTGAAAGAATATTATACTGGCTATATAACAACGTAAAGCACATTAGATTAAACCAATTTTATGGACTTAAAACTTATCTTTGACCCAAGCGAAGCAACCTCTGAAGTACAATACCGATTATGTACTTAAAACATATGACAACATCTATTAATTCTGTGCTCGATTCAACTCAGGGGCATCCAGTTAATACTAACAGCAAAGCAACTGATTGGCATCCAAATTTAACTCCCTTAAATTAGATGAGCCAACTGATTGTTACCTGGAAAACAACATATATTAGATAAATAAGAAACCTTATTAGAATCCAAACAAAGTTGAGAATTCCAGTTTAGTATGAAAAAGCAAGTAGTAATAATATCAATTAGCTAATATATTGATGGCACATTGCATTAAGTAGCACATCAAAACCTTTTAGTATTCCAAAAGCAATTATAATTGTCATTTTCCAATGTTGTCTCCAAATATTAATTGATTACTTTACACCTATATATTCAACACAGAGATATTATTAACCTCTGTTAAGCACCACCTAAACAATTCCTAATTTGTGCAATTCATCTCCCCTAGAATACATGAGGAAACTTACATCTTCAACCACCATTGGTTCGAAGCGCAAGCATCCCAGCAACAACCAATGTAAATCTATTGACTTCTATCTTTATTATAGCTATTCTGTCTTAGATTATAGAACTATTATACGATTTTTGTTTTTAACTGTATTAAAAATATTAAAAACGATCTCAACCCATCTCAACGGAGTGTATCTGTTCTCGGAACACAAAATTAATGGCACAAAAGAAAACTCATCAGATAGATTTCCAGGTTATCAAAATCCATATGCATGTGTACTATATTAAGTTGAGTTCTACAAATATAGTATATAAACGAGACTTAGATCTGAAAACTTAGAACAGTTAGGGTTAAAAATCCATACCCACTTTTTGTTGTTATTGTCCAAATCGTGCGTTTGAACAGCCGATTCTGCAAAATGGTTGACCGTATATCATCGCACACATTTCTGTTCACCAATCTTCGATCTCTAGCTACCCATGCACTCCGGCGAGTATATTGTTCACCGGATTCAACTCTATGCGATGATTGACACTATGAAAACTCTGATTTACTGCTTTGACAGTACTATGAACACTCAGAGTGGTAGTATTTGTGAGAGCTATGGGTCAGTGAATGCTTCACAGTACCTTCATCTTCATCGTCAATCCATAGTAAAGCGACCGGGAATGACCGGCGAGAGAAACCATTAACCCCCTAATCGAGACTGACAATCAAACCCTAACCCCTTAATTAACTCCATTTTTAGTGAGAGAAACCACCGTGTTTGACCGGCGAAGTGAGCTCAAAATGGAGCCTTCTAGGAGATTAGGAAAGCGACGCCTTCTGCCTACATCACGGTGTGATTGCCATTACAGATTATTATTATTACAATTAATATTATTATTATTATTATTATTATTATTATTATTATTATTATTATTATTATTATTATTATTATTATTATTATTATTATTATTACTATTAGTATTATTATTATTACTATTATTATTATTAACATTTTTATGTTTATTATTCTTATAATTCTTATAATTGGTAGACTAACATTAATCTTCACCATTAATATTCTTATACTAATGTTAGTATTGCGATTATTTACCATCAAATGTTTGTATCATTACACATTTAAAGGTTATTAGTAATAATAAAAGTATTATGAAATTATTAGTATATAGAGATAATGATATGATATTATATAATATTACGATATATTAAGTTGATACAATAAAATGATACCCGGGTTGGACTTTTATTTGGAAGATTATGAGTTCGAGCCTCAATGGAGGCGTTATTGGTTCTTTGTGTTTCAGTAGGTTGAGAAAGTATATGAACAAATACTACAATGTAATAGAGCCAATAGCTTTCAAAAAAAAAAGTTGATACAATAAAATGATATTATTGTGAAATAGTAAATTATTAATATTAGTTTAAAATTACCTCTATTATTATACAATTCAATAAAGCCATCATTTACAATCTATCATTGAATAATTAAAGTATGATTCGGTATGAGTCCCAAAAATTGATCCACCAAACATATCATGTATAGTGATATCATTGTTTTTTCTTTACAGAGAATGAAAATCGTACAGTCATTGATGCATCGTACATGTCGTCCATTGAATGCAATAACAATGCACACAATCGTACACCCCTACGTGGTGTTTTTCAAAGTTCGCTAAGTACGCCTTTAAGTATTGTGACAAATGGTAAGTGTGGTCTATATCACAATCCAATTACATAATTAATTGTTGTTAATATAAGTTGATATTGTAATTCACAGCTTCAAACGCAATTCGGACGACAATTCGGAATTCTCCTTTGCAAGATTTGGGTAGCAGAATACCATTAAGCTATCCAATAGTACGAACCTAAACAAACGTTTTTAAAAATGTGATACTTAACATTCTAACAAGTGCTTTGTACGGCTGTTATATAATTAAAGAAAATTGCGCTCGAGGTGACGGGGATCGTGAAAAAGCACCGATTACCAAGCGCCACAATCGTTCGTTCGACTTAAATAGAACACCAGATTCACAACTAGGTATAAATCTAGAATCCATCGATGTATTTATTACTTATATTAAACTACACAGTCTAATTACGAATCATGTAGTCATTTATATTTTCTATTAGTTAATAATAATCGTTGGTGTTGCAATGCACAGTTTCTTCTCCGTTACGAATGACAATACATACTACATCAACGCAAGATTTGAGTAGCAGAATGCCATTTAGCAACATATCAAATGGTATGAAGTTCAACAAATATATTGTAATAAGATTACTAAAAAATTATATATATAGTCAAATTTAATACTTATTAGTCTAACAAATCTTATTACAATATATTTTTTATTAAAGCAAATTGCGGTAAAGTCAATGGGGACCGCGGCGTTCCACCTACATCTAATCGTCAAAATTGCTGCTTCGACTTAAATCGATCACCAGAGTCGCAGATAGGTACAAATATATATTCAAGAATAGGTTTTTAGGGGATAGTCAGTTATAATGCTTAAATAAATATTTAACCAAATTACTTATAATGGGATATTGTTCTTTTAAGGTTCGAAAGTAATTGTTGCATTACAAATGACAATAATATGCAAATAGTCCTAGTAGAGCCGGAGAGTGAAACCATCGAGCATTGTCAAAATTTGATGTCAGATTTTCAGGAAGTTGTTTAACCGTAACATGACAATATGCCCTCAAATAATGGTGAGTTCATATGAAATGTGTTAGGACAAAAACGTATTATCTTTGGACGACACTAAAATACATTATTATGTTAGATATGAACTAACACATTTTTTTTTAGATTATTATTTTGATCTTGGTGATCCAGAGTATGTTTGCGAGCATTGTTATTCATTTTTTTGGTACAATGAACGGTCAAGCAATTCAAGGTCATGTGAAAGTCCAAAATACTCTGCGTGTTGTGTCAATGGTAAAATAAAGTTGCCATTCATGACAAAGCCTCCTCAAAAGTTGTATGAGCTATTCTTTACATCAAGCGATAAAAACAAATGTTTTTTAAAGAATATAAGGTCATATAACAGCATGTTTTGCTTTACGTCGATGGGTGGAAAAATTGATAGAACTATTAACAACGGAACATCGCCGCCTATATTCCGTATAAATGGTCAAAATTTTCATCGGATTGGAAGCTTATTACCTTCACATGGCATTCAGCCAAAATTTGCCCAATTATACATTCACGATACAGAGAATGAGATAGAAAATCGCTTCAACTCTTTGAGGTATACTATTTTGTGTTACTGAAATATTTTTGGTATATCATGGGTTAATACGGAGAATCTTATATTATATATTCTTCCTTTTTTAGGGCCGAAAACAATGGTTCTACATTGCATATTGAGGTAGTACATGACATTAAGCAAGTCTTAGATGAACACAATGTGTTGGTTAAGTCATTCCGAATGGCCAAGTCATTTATGGAATCTAATCCTCAAAGTCAAATTAGAATGAGATTAATAGGAAAGAGGACTAAAGATGCCCGGACTTATGCATTACCAACTACTTCCGAGGTTGCGGCACTCATTGTTGGAGATATAGACCCTTACATGGGGCAGCGGGATATTGTTGTCGAGTGTAGATCTGGAGTCCTGAAACGAATAAATGAATTAAACCCGGCCTATTTACCATTGCAATACCCAATCTTATTTCCATACGGAGAGGATAGTTTTAGGGAAGATATACATTTTGCAACACTTGGTACAAAACAAGATTTTGCAAGAAAGAGTGTTTCACAAAGAGAGTACTTCGCGTTCCGTATCCACGAAAGATCAAATGAGATCTCAACAATAATGTATGCTAAAAGGTTATTCCAACAATTATTGGTTGATGCGTATACTATGGTTGAATCTTCGAGGTTGCTCTATATTAGGTCAAATCAAAAAGCTTTGAGGTGTGAGGCGTACAAAGGTCTGTCTGATGCGTTGACGCGAGGTGAAGTTCAACCCAGCTCTCAAGGTAAAAGAATAATATTACCATCAAGTTTCACGGGAGGAGCAAGATACATGATACAAAACTACCAAGATGCCATCGCAATTTGCAGATTTATAGGTTATCCAAATATGTTTATTACTTTTACATGTGATCCTAAATGGCCCGAGATACAACGCTTCTTGGAGAAAAGAAATTTGAAAGCTGAAGATCGTCCGGACATTGTCTGCCGTGTTTTCAAAATGAAGCTAGACTGTTTAATTAAAGAAATAAAAAATGGGAAACTATTTGGTCGCGTAAAGGCAGGTGCGTACCGCAGTTCCTTATAAGTGTCATTTTCCATATAATAATTATTATTATACGAAGCTTCTAACTAACAATATGAATGCATTATTGACAGTTATATACACAATTGAGTTTCAAAAACGTGGTCTTCCGCATGCTCACATATTACTGTTCCTACATGCGACCAGCGACTTTGCCAACCCGGCTTTTATGGACACGATCATTTCAGCCGAGATTCCCGACAAGCTGACAGACATTGAGTATTACAAAGCTGTCGAAGAATTCATGTTGCACGGCCCCTGTGGCGCTGCCAGGAGTAAATCCCCGTGCATGGCAAATAGCAAGTATTCGAAGCATTTTCCAAAAAGATACATTGATGCATCACATTTTGACCAAGATGGTTACCCGTTGTATCGAAGAAGGGATGATAAGAGGACAATTAAAAAAGAATGGAATAGAGTTGGATAATAGATATGTTGTACCACATAATCGGTACTTGCTTTTGAAATACAAATCTCACATTAATGTAGAGTGGTGTAACCAATCTAGGTCAATCAAGTACCTCTTCAAGTATGTAAACAAGGGCAACGACCGTGTAACTGCTGAGTTTTATAAGACTACGATGGATGAAGCTGGTAATGAGATTGTGGATGAGATAAACATGTACTATGATTGCAGATACGTATCTGCATGCGAGGCAGCTTGGAGATTGTTTAGTTTTGAAGTCCAGTATAGAACTCCCCCGGTTGAGCGATTAAGCTTTCACTTGCCGGATTGCCAATCAGTTGTTTTCCAAGACGATGATACGATTGATAATGTCCTCAATAGAGAAACCGTTGGTCAAAATATGTTTAATGCATGGTTTGTAGCCAACCAGAATTTCAAAGAAGCGAGTTTGCTGACTTACATTGAGATGCCTACCAAATTTGTGTGGAAAAAGGACATCCGTGAATGGCATCCAAGAAAGACCAATAGAACCTCAATTGGTCGAATATTCTATGTACCTCCAGCTTCAGGTGAAATATATTATTTGAGGTGTCTATTGAACATAGTCCGTGGTCCAAAAAGTTTCAAAGATATTAGGACAGTTAACGGTGTTGAGTACTTGACCTTTAGAGATGCGTGTTATGCTCATGGATTGCTAGACGACGATAAAGAGTACATTGATGCTATAAATGAGGCAAACTACTGGTAAACTGCACATTCATTGAGGAAGCTATTTGTTGTTTTACTAACATCATCCTCAATTATTAGACCCGAAAATGTTTGGAATTAAGTTTGGCAACATCTGTGTGAAGATGCTCAACACTATCAAAGAAGAATATTAAAATAACAAGGTAATGTAACTTTTTTATGATACAATAAACTTTTCAACAATTTTCATAGGTTATACATATAACAATTTGGATGTTGCTATTGTGACAGATTTGGTCTTAACAGAGGAAGAGAAAAAGAACTTTGCATTATTGGAATTGGAAAACCTGTTGGGACAACAGAACAAGTCTTTAAAAGACTACCCTCCGATGCCCACACCAAGTACTGATAATACAAGGTTGTTTCAAAATCGATTGGTTTTTGAAGAGTTGTGTTACAATTCGGAACAATTGAAGACAGATTCTGAAGTGATGTGTGCCAAACTAACAAAAGAACAGGGTATCATTTTTGATACTGTTATCCAAGATATTGCAACCAATAAAGGTGGCTTATTTTTTGTTTATGGATACGGTGGAACACGAAAGACTTTCTTGTGGAGAGCGTTATCCGCTGCAGTCCGATGCAAAGGCCAAATCGTTTTAAATGTCGCATCAAGTGGCATAGCTTCTTTATTGTTACCAGGTGGCCGAACTGCACACTCGAGATTTGCAATACATATTGCAATAAATGAGGACTCTACCTGTAACATTAAACAAGGTAGCGACTTGGCTGAATTGTTGATAAAGACGAGCTTGATAATTTGGGATGAAGCTCTCATGATGCACAAACATTGCTTTGAAGCGTTAGATCGAACCATGCGGGATTTGTTGCGTTTTGTGGACCCTAATAGTGAAATGAAGACGTTTAGTGGTGAAACAGTTGTTCTGGGTGGAGATTTCCGCCAAATTCTTCCAGTAGTTCCAAAAGGTACACGGCAAGACATTGTTTCTTCCGCCATAAATTCATCATATCTATGGGATAGTTGCAAAGTTTTAAGGTTGACTAAAAACCTCAGGCTAAGTTCGGTACACAGCGGTGTGAACCGGCAGGCATTACAAGAGTTTGCTAACTGGATTGTCAATATCGGCGATGGAAAGCTGGGTGGGCGGAATGACGGATTCGCAGAGGTTGAAATACCTAATCACATGTTAGTATCATCCGGGGGGGACGACATTAAAGCAATTGTGGAAAGTACATTTCTAATGTTTGCAAATGGAAACAATGACCCCGAGCATCTGATAGGTCGTGCTGTACTAGCACCAACGCTCGACGTGGTCAACGCAGTTAATGAATATATGACTGAGTTGCATAATGCTGAAAACAGGTCATACTATAGTTCAGACGCAGTATGTAAAGCCGACGGCGATAATGGTATACTTGGAGATGTACACACACCGGAATTTCTAAACAGCATTCAGGTGTCGGGTCTACCAAATCATACACTGAAATTGAAAATCGGCTCACCAGTAATGTTAATGAGAAATATTGACCATTCTCTTGGGTTGTGCAATGGAACTCAGTTGATAATCACAAAGTTAGCAGACCATGTTATTGAAGGCGAGCTTCTCACTGGTCCCAACAAAGGTACAAAAGTGTTAATCCCCCCGAATGTCAATGTCACCCTCGGATCCAAGATTGCCGTTCAAGTTTCAACGAAGGCAATTCCCATTGATGCTTTCATATGCGATGACCATAAACAAAAGTCAAGGCCAAACGTTGACTCATGTAGGTTTAATACTAAAGAAACCGGTTTTTGTACACGGTCAGTTGTACGTAGCTGCATCTCGGGTTAATAATCCAGACGGTCTCAAAATATTGATTGTAAAAGACTCAAGTTCAACTACTACATCAACCACTAATGTTGTATATCATGAAGTTTTCAATAATTTGTAATTTTGTAATGTATTCTTTTTATATTACCAACACCTTGCAACTATTTGTAACATACCATTTTCATACGTTTTTTGTTGTATTCCCAAATATATCACACAAATTTTAACATAAAATACACACAATTAAAAATGTTTAAATAACATCTCGTGCATCGCACGGGTCAAATACTAGTGGTACTAAATGGCTTTAGGAGTTCCCTAACTCCAAAAATTGTTTAAACACTTGTGTGCACAGGATTGGTTGAGGTTGGTTAATCAACCAATCTCAATTGAAGAAAAATGTTAAAGAATTTAAAAGGTGAATTCCATAACCTACAAATGTTTTTTATTACCTTAACTTAAATATTTAACTTATAATTTTTTTTTTTTTTTGTTGAGTTGTGCACTGGAGTTGGAGATTCTGGAGTTGGTTCTTCATTGCCTACAATATATGTATATTACATTACTACTATACTTGTTTCTTGATTTTTTCTATTTAATTATTAAGTATTTCACTTTTTATCTTGATGTTTGAATGTTTGATGAGTTTATGACTGTCCCTCAGAGGCTCAGATCCTCAATCCCTTATTCCTTGGCTAGAAAGTGTGGCTCATGGCTTGGTAACATTTTAAATATTGCTGCTATTGAGTTAAGATTCCTAAGAACTCATACTTCCCTAGGTATCAATATCAATAATCATTTTGGCCGTTTTATCTTTGTATGGTGACTGGTAAATGGTAATGTACATGACTTACCTTATCTCTTTTTTTTCTTTATGCTTATTTTGCAATGATGATGCTTCCACCATGTTGTCTGAAAATGTAGAATTGAATTTCGGTATGTTGCTTATGTAGTGTGGTCTTGATACCATAACTCATTGAGCAATTTACTCACAATCCTAACTTGATATGGAAAAAAGTACTCTGAGCATCCTTAATGCTTAGTCCATTTATTCTGTTTAAAAATTGAAACTTTGTATTTTGATTAACTTTTTAACTTATACATTTTTATAGATGAAGAAGAATATCATATTAGGATTTGATATTTAATGGTTTGATGCTTGGATTCTTAATTCTTTTCTTTTGGAAAATCATTGTGATGAACTAATCAAATTCTGAAGGCACAAGTGTCAAATAGGCCCATTTATCACTGGGAAGTCTCAATTCCCACCACAAACTAAATTAAGTGTCAAATAGGCCCATCCACGGCTGTATGTGAATGGGCAGCCACCGGCTGTCCTCGCCGGACAGCCGGTGGCTATTATCTTTTTTTTTTTAAATTTAATTATTTTATTTATTTATTTATTTATTTATTAATAATTAATAAATAGGTAACATGTTGGTACCTGTAAAAAAAAGTAAATTGAACAAATTTAGCTGATAAGTGGGCCTATTTGACACTTAATTTAGTTGGTGGTGGAAATTGAGCACTTTCCAGTAATAGATGGGCCTATTTGACACTTAATTTAATTGGTGGTGGAAATTGAGCACTTTCCAGTAGTAGATGGGCCTATTTGACACTTGTGCCAATTCTGAATTCTGAACTGATGTGAATTGTAATTTGCACTATTAAAATGTTTTTTTGAGATGTGTAAACTTGTATGTTCTGTAAACTACTAAACTTGTGTAATATTTTGTATTTTGTAATTTGTATCATTGTAAGTATGTTTAAACTATGAAGTAGACTTGTAGAATTGTAGGTGTGAGATGAAACATGAATGAATGAAATTAAAATTAGTCAATTTAATATTTTAATTTAATAATTTCAGTAAATTATTTAATTTTGTAATTTTTTTACATATCCGAAATATTTGACAAGTTTAACAAAAATCCGAAGGGCAAAGAAATCAAAATATCCGACGGTTTAATACACAAAATAAAATGGATTGTGCCTCCATCACTTTAACTGAAGTCTGTTCGGAGTAGTCGGCCGTGCATCTGAACCTGTCTGTTGCTCAGCCCTAACAAATACTATACTATATATATTATTCGTATTGCTTGTAGGGAAAAAAAAATACTAATTTAAAATAAGTTAAAACTCTTTCCTTATTTGAGATCCTCATAAATTAAAAATTTTTAATTTTCAAAAATTTTCTTCTTATAATAAAGGCCGATTCCTTGAACAAGTTTTATCAATACTCTACTGCATTATTGATGGGTCAGGCACATATGTAATATGTTTGAGCACTGTGGCTCATGATGACTTTAAGTTTAGATGAATATTAACATTAGGGCAATTTATTTCCTGCACCAGGGCGCGCATTGCATTGTGCGCTCTGATGCAAAACGACGTCGTTTTAGATTTTTTTTAAAAAAAATTTCGCTACCTTATGTTGGCGGTTAATTTTCTTTTAAAAAAATCTCATGCTTAAAAATGTACATAATTTTATACTAGAATACACAT